TTGGGGAGTCCTTTGGTTTTAAAAGGTCATTCGAATGCAAGTTGGATAACCAAGGTGGATGACCATTCCTCAACTTCTGGTTGGGTATTCTTTATTGGGGGAGGTGCTATTTATTAGGCTTCCAAGAAGCAATTTTGCATTACAAACTCAACAATATAATGAGATATTAAATTCTCATTTAGGTTGTATCGGCTAAAAATTGATCGATCTGAAATTCGAATTTCGGGTTGTATATTGCTATGCAAAATCTTAGAAAAATCATAACTTCATCATACGAAGTTAGATTTTGACGTTCTTTTTAAGCACGCTCTCGGTTTAATATATACTACAACTTTCATTTAGATATCTAAGGCTAAAAAGTAGTTTATAAAAAATTCACATTTTATGATTCCCGGTGTCGTGTCGGTTTTGCCGTAAAACTTCGACATGCCATAACTGCTTCGTTATAACTCGGACTTTGGCGTTTTTTATATTTCCGGAATCCTTGTCACGACCACTACCACTTCCTTCATAGATATTGGGTTTGTCTACACTTTTATTTTTGACGCTTATTTTCATTATTAATTTATTATATTTTATAAATAAGTATAATGTACATAAAATCACATAATTCACATAATATTCAAGTAATTTCACTTTATTACTTCAAAGTGAGTTACAATTGTTGACCCTAACTATTACATCATCACGTTAATGCTTAGTCTAGAACACGAACGTTACAAAGTTGAAAACATTTTGGACTATATCCACAGTTTTTGAAAAACCACAAAGACCAATTTTATAATTTTGCCAAAAACTATATTGTTTGTGTCTCCACCAATATTTGAACTTTCTAACATTTGGTTGAAGGTCACATACGTGAACTCACTATAAACATTTTGGTTTTCTAGATGATTATTAGTTTACAATAGTAACAATCTTTCTTCTATATGATATTTTAATGATTTTTTTTTATAAAATAAAAACTGATAATAGAAAACGACAAAAAATCGATCTACCTGGTTGTTTTTTTTTTTCAATGACTTAGTTAAAAAAACTTAATTAAGATCCGAATAATTTAACAAAACAATTTGATTAGAGATGTCAAAAAGTCCTGTGGGACCCCGTTCCCGTGGGGTCCCCGTCTCATTTGGGGGAATTTAAAAAAAAAAAAAAAAAATCGGGAGCGGGGGAAATGTTAACCCCTGTTTTAATTTCGAGGGCGTGGGCGGGGATAGGCAATCCCGCCCCGAAACCCCCATTGGGTCCCCGTTAATAAATTACACATATATTAATTATATAAATACAATAAACAATAACATGATTTTGAGCTTTCAAAATTAATCAAAAAACATATTTTTAAGTTGTTAGTATAATGTTTTTAAGATTCCATAACTTTTTTTATTTTTAACATCTAACATTCTGCTATAAATAATTATTTGTTACTTAAAAAATAGTTTCTTTTAGTTTAAATAATAACTTCTTTTAGCCCAAACAAAAGCAGTCTGAAATCAATCGGGGGCAGGGGCGGAGGTAGGAAGGCTGAACATTTTTGGGGCAGGGGTGGGGATAGGGGAACAGGAAAATTCCGGGGACGGGGGCGGAGGATGAACTCCCCGTCCCATTTGCCCCCGTTACCATTCCTGAATTTGATAACTATATAAAAAATAACCAGTAATCAATATTTTTTCATATAATATCTCTCCAGTAAATTTTATATTTAATAAAAAAATGTACTTAAACAATGCATGATTAAAGCTTACATATATAATCATTTCGTTTCGCTTTTAAAACCATATTTGATTTTCTTTGGTAAATTTGTCGTGACTTCATGCATTTTCTTTCTATATGGAAAAAAGGGAAAACCCATAATCTTAAACAATGATTACTGATCATTGACAATCACAATTAGATAAACCTAATGCTTTCCATTTATCTGTATCGGTTTATGACTTTATGGCATCATTTTTATTTTTAGTTTTTTTTATTTATTTATTTTTTTTTTTTTTTCATCTACGTAGTCTGCTTTTTGTCAATTATTTTGACATTAATTTGATTCATTTCGTAGTTATTTTTCTTGTATTATTGGTTTTATTTTTAGTATCTCAATGTACATATTAGTTTAGCCGATATATGAGTAATATATTCTTACTATTTAGGGAAATCTCCAATAAAGTCCTAAAATTTTAGCGCGGTTTATGTTTTAGTCCTAAATTAATTTTTGTTTACGAAAAAGTTCCAAAAACTGGCAAAAGTTTGCATTTTGACCCTTTTTGACTGGTTGGAACCAGTAACTAATTAATTTAGGACTATTTCATAAATAGACCCAAAATATTAGGGTTTTTCTGCAAACAAAAACTTTATTATTATTATTATATTAAAAATATAAATAAGTATACTATTTTTTAAATTTGTTATTATTAATATTATTAATAATACATATAAATACATTTAAATTAAAAAAATATTAAAGATATTTTATAAAGATGAAGGTTGAGCGGATGGTAATGCTTTAAGCTTTAAAATCATGAATGTCTCTTTGTATATTCTAACTTTTAATATCGTCATTTCACATTTGTTATTATTGTTATTTATTCAGAATATTAACATTTAACAATTTAAAAGAAGTTACTGATTTTTCAAATTGTTTACAAATAGTGAGCACGTGATA